TTCTTAACCATAACAGGGTTTGCAAGCCACGTGGGGTAGAAAATCTCCTTGATGATGTCCACAGCCATACTACGCTCCGGAGCCATCTTCTGCCTCTTTTGTTGGATAGGCCGCGCACCGGGATCTACATTCAGCCTATGTACACCCAGTTCGGGAGGTATTCTTGTCATGTCACTAGGGCTTCAAGCGAAAATGTCCCCGAACTGCCTCAGTAGCTCAATAACCAAAGCCCGAAGGCTGGGGGGGAAGGACGGCCCCCCAACCTGACGATCTTTCCTTCAACAAAAGGATTCAAGGCCACATCTGCGACCTCCTCATCTTCCAAGAGATTAGGGCCTTCATCCTTTGGTTTCTCGCTGACCTCAGAGACCGGTGCCTTTTGGATGGCACCAACAGGCACACCTTTGAGAAGGAATTCACGCCCTTTACACCATAAACTGAGGAAAGAAATCATTTTGGAAGAAACTAATACCTTAAAAGAGCTCTTCTCGCAATAATCTCAGCATGGGAATCATTGATCACGTCCCCTTTTGAACACCTCCTTGACCGTCCAATGCATTTCGTCCCCATCCCGAATGCCACAACTTTCAATTCTACAAACATTAAAGGAATGATTGGTTAAAAAGAATTAAGAAACATAATGCAAAAACTATATTCAATTTATGCAATCACCATAAACTTTCAGACCAACTGTTGATCACCTCGGACTTCCGCAACTCCGGCCTCGGTCGAGAACTTCATGTCTAGGTGGTAGGGAGAATAAATAGATTTAGTCTAACTCATCCACAGTCGTCCAAAGATGACATTGAAAGGGGCGACCACGTCTACCACTGCAAAGTTGACCAAGACCACTTGATCCTTGGGATATTTCCCTCCGGTTACTGCAAGGCTGATCATGCCTAAGGGCATTATCACATGATTAGAGAACCCTACCAAGAGCACGGTAGTGTCGAGGCCTAGTTTCTGAAAGAAATCAAGATACATGACATCCACGGTGCTACTGTTGTCCACATATACCCGCCGAACTTCTTGGTTTGCAATGATGGCCATGATAACCAAGGCGTCCGAATAGTCCTTGGAACTACCCACCAGGTCCTGTTCTGAGAAAGTAATCATGTCCTCTGGCTGAAGACTCTTCACTCAGATTCTCTGGGAGGACGAGGGCACACGCTTCTCCGTGGGCCGAGATACTCTGGACTCCAAGGGGTGCTCCATATATAGCACTGTCAGGGGCAGCCGAGATCTGTCGCGCCTTCGCCTTGTCGACCTCTTCTCTGGCTTTGGCCTCATCGTTAGTCGGGGCCTGGTTGCCACCTTTGCCCTTGTTCTTCTTCCATCTTCGGTTCTTGGGGTGATTACCTGCTTTCTTCCCTGACCCTTTCTGGACATACTCTTGGAACTTCCCAGCCATAAGTCCATCTTTGATTTCTTTTTTTAACCGGAAACAATTCTCTGTGTCATGGCCTTTACCCCGATGGAAGTCACACCACTCGGAGGAGGACTCGTACTGAGATTTGCCGTGAGGGGGGAACTTGAATTCATTTTTATGGATTTGCAGGATCTCCTTTCTAGTCCTTGTAAGGAGGAGAGCCTTCGGATCAAACTTGGGAGAACCAATATTCAGATTTTTTCCCTCCGGCTTTCCCCCTTTCTTCTCACCTTCTCCAAAGCCTTCCTGGGCTCTCTTCATGGATTCTTCCGTCCGGATCTCTTTCTCCACCGTCTCCCACCACTTCTGGCTGTTGGCGAGGGGGCTTGGCAGTAAGCTTTCCCTTCAGGGTCACCCCCGCGCCACAGGGTGATAGGCCATTCACAAACTCCACCCTTAGACTTGGTCTATCATCATGAGCTCGTTCGTGAACCGCTCATAATACTGCCTCAAAGTCTCATTCTGGTGCTGCCGTACCGATGACAAGTCGTGGATGGTACGTTTTGCCTTCTTGCTGGAGAAAAATCAAACATGAAGCTTCTGCCCCATATCAGCGTAAGAGGTCACGCTGCCCTGGGGGAGGCTATCAAACCATATCTTGGCAGCTCCCGTCAGGAAGGTGGGCATCGCCTTAGCAGAGAATTCTCGAGGAGAATCCCGCAAATCCATTGCCGCCGTGTAGTCAGCCAAGAAGCTAACTGGGTAGGTATCGCCTCCATACTTAAGGATATATGTGGGTAGCTTGACGTTATCGGGCCGCGAGCAATGCCTGATATGTTCGGCAAAGGGGTTTCTGTGCGACTCCCTACCGCCAAGAATGGACTCGAGCCGGGGATCTGACACCACCTCACGATCCAATTCCCGTCCCCTGGGAACATCGGCAACCCGGTCCTTGTGCTGTTCCCGAGCCTGGGGGGCCCTCCTCTCGCCCATGAACATGAGACTATCGTCGGGGCCGTCACCTTTTCTATCATAATACACATCTTTGAATTTGCAGAATTGCTCCTCAAACCCGAGGAACCTCCCGGGAAAGGATTTCAAAAAATGGTTATCGTGAGGCTCCCGCTCAGGCGAGTGGGACGGGTGTCGTCGAGACGCTCGCCGAGAATGGTCCTTATTCCTTTCCGTCTCTTTGCCGGTCCAATGGGACCAACTCCTTTCGCGCTAGGCCGAATCCCGACTACGCTCCTTATGGTGATCATTGCGCCTCCTGGACCGGCTCTGTCGATCGCTGGTCTTAGAGGCTCCACCCGTATCTTCATTCTCCTGCTGCTCCTATGGTTTGGGGGAGGCGCGGGAATCACCTCCAACCACTGGTGACCTAAGTCTTGGCCTCCGACTGGTTCCCTCATCAGGCCTCGTCCGAGTAGAGACCATAACTCTCTTAGAGCACTTGGGCTCACCCTCGTCCAAGTCGGAACAAAGTCCCCACAGTCGCTGCCACTTGTTGAGGGTAAATTCCAGAGCCGTGGAGTCAACGGTCAAACCCGAACGCGGACCTGCAAGACAAGGGTTAGCACTCCGAAGATTAAGTTAGTGTTAGAAGAGAAACTTCCAATTAACACACTTAGAGAGAGAAACGGAGTATGGAATTGAATTGGTAATAAATTCCCATGGCGTATTTATAGTTCCCAATGGGACAATACCTGTGGACCCTACTGAATAGGGACAAACTCGTAATTCTAGCATAAGATGGGGATAATAAGGCTGAGTAATTCTTTAATCAGCAAAGTGAGCCGCTTGGGCCCTTATTGAGGCCCATACCTTACCTGTATTTGGGTCAGTCAGGATTGATCTCCAACAACTAGCAACTCGGTTTGTTATTGCATCCTAAAAAGGAGGAAATGAAAAATATTACACAAATTAGATTAGTACGAAGAAGAGTATACTGTATTTTGCGTATTTTTTAAAATCTTTTTCTTTATCTTTGTTTCCATAAAATCACGTGGTTAACTTGTTTTACACTTTTAATCAAGAGGCCTTGTCAATTTAAACAGTGATAATACTACACAAACAGATACGCACGATTTGACGTTGTTGATTACTTTTGTTTGGTTTATTTTTGGTTTATTTTTTAGTACATAGTTACGCTTTTCCTCTACAACAATAATTACTCTTTATTTTCCCCTTATTTCATTTTTTTCTTCGTACTCGTCTCCTCAATCAATTGCCTGCTCTGTATGTGATATCTTCCTGGTGTGATTCTAATTCTAGTCCTTCATTTACTGAAATGATATTCATGAATTAAATTATGAGACTTAAATTGAACCAAGTTACTCGCAAAAGATCGTGATTAATTATGTAACTCTCAAGGTCTAGAAGTGGTAATTTCTTCCAACCTTGAACACATCTAGATTCTGTTTGAGAATCAGATTTGATAAGAATCCTGAACCTTGTTCCTTGGCAACTTGAAAACTAAGACACCACCGAGCAAACACAGTTTTTTGAAACTATGGTAAGAAACAACCTTCCAATTACGCTTACTTTTATATAGAGCAGGATATTGATGATATTAAGGTAAGAAAAAACAGTAAATTGAACGAATGTGTATCAATAATTTTCTGTCAATACAAACTGACTGCATTCCTTCTCATTTCCCAACAAGAATTTCACACTCGACAAAAGAAATCTATTCAAAACTGTGTTAGCCATTCATAACATTAAAAAATTCGTGATATTTTACAAGAAAAGTGAGTAAGGCGAAAGAAATATGCAACGTAATTCAAATGAAAAATTCACCATAAAACATTAACTTGATTTGACGGCTTCATTTCGAACGGAGGCTCGACGAAAATTATGAGGTTCATGTATTCATTATTAAAACTGAAGATTTAAAATTAAGAACGTTAAATCATAAGGAAAAAACAACGAACGACATTTCGGATTAAGTCGTATAAAAGGAGAACAAACAACAACCATAGCCGATTAGAAAGAATGGACAAAAAGCAGTATGGGGGTTAAAAGAAGGATAAAATAATCTTTTATGTCATAACGCATTAGTTATATTTTAGCAAAAATTCCCAATTTCCCATACCCTTAAAGAATAATTTTGAAACTTTCTAACGCACTTTCCAAAAATTTGACCTCTGCAGGGGATTGTTTGCATGACCCAAAGTACAAATGGAAAGGACGAAGAATCTAATACAAGTGAGAGAATGAGTGCGTGAATGATGGACGAATTTCTTTTCTTAAGAAAAAAATTAGTAAAGCAAGAAAAAGTGAACCAAAATCATTTTAATTACTGTACCATCCCCACCATTGTGAGTTAGTTGAACAAATGTTAGATAATTCAAAAGCAAATAATCATAATCCATAAAGCAAATGAGCACCATCTCACCTAACATGATGCATTACTTTGATTAATTTAATTTAATTAAGCTCAAAGCTGATTAAAAAGTCATTCTACTTCCACTTTCCCTGATGCTTTTATATATCTTCTTCTTCTCCACCTCTATAAACTCTCATCCAACCTGTTCGATCATTTCCTCCTTAGAGCTTATACATTGCCAAAGAGGGAAAAAAAAAAAAATAAACTTGTTACTCTTTGGGTGAAAAAAATATGGAATTCCAGGAAGACGAGGAGCAGCATTTCTCCTACGCCATGCAGTTAGTGGGCTCCGCATCACTTCCCATGGTGTTGATGGCCGCCGTCCGGCTTGACTTGTTCGCGATCATCGCCGGAGCCGGTCCTGGAGCAAAACTCTCGGCTTCCGAAATCGCTGACCGGTTATCTAAAACTCGGAGCGTCAACAACCCGAATGCTGCTTCCATGTTGGACCGGATGATGCGCTTCCTTGCCAGCAACTCCTTGCTGACGTGCTCCTCCGCTGAAGGCGGTGGCGATGGCCGTAGTGGCGGAAGGGTCTACGGGCTGGCGCCGGCGGCCAAGTATTTTGTGAAGAATGAGAAAGGAGTTTCTCTGTGCGGCTTGCTGGAGTTGCTTCAAGACAAAGTCTTCATCGAAAGCTGGTAATTAAAGAAAATTGGCTTCCATTTCACCCCCTTCTTTTTATTTGTTCTGTTTTATTTATTTATTTATTCATTATTTCTTGTCCTCTCAAATCAATTGGCTAATGAAATTATTGTTGGGACTTCGATTCGAACTAGTTTGGTAGTAATTTCGGACATCAAATATAATTTGTTTTGTAAAAAAATAATTGAGCGACTTATATTTACTCTTATTTCAATAAAAAAAATATTTGGAAGAGCAAATGAGATTAGAAAAACCGATGCATGTGGAGACAAGTATATGTATACTTGAATATATCCGCTTTACTATTTACTCCAGTAATTAAGATGTTTACTTTATTCCATATTATATATCTTCTTTGAGTTTTCATTTTTGACCAAAAAAAAAAAAATTCATTTCGAAAAGATAATTAATGACTGATGGGCTAGTATTTTTTTTTTCCTCTCCATATATACAAATGTATTGTACTACAGTTTACTAATGGCATCTCCAAAATTTGCTTCACTATTTCAATTGGTAACGATTGTGATAGACTCTGAAGCACGCATGGCTTCGAAACGAATTTACTATACTCTATCTTTTGATGTAGGAATTAAGTTTTTTTTTTTTTTTTGCTATTTGGTGTACTCTCTAATTCTAATTATAAGACGAAAATTTGAACTAATTAGGACCGGAACCAATACATTTTTTTTTAATGATACTGGAGTATTGGACCATCTCATAGGGAATAAATTCATTGTCGGCACTATTATGCAAATTAAATTTTTAAATAATTCGATTAATTCTGGTCGATCGGAAGGGCACGTGGATTTAATAAGATTTTATAAATGCCTATTTAAAACGTCTGTAGGGATACTTCGAAATGCATATATCAAAATGATTCCGTTATCTACTCTAAACTGAGATAATGGATGAAAAATCTTTTATTAGTTTGTGCATAATATACAAAAATAAATAAGTTTTGCATTCAATAGTAATAACTGGGTAACTATTTCACGCACTAGAAACAACCTTTTATTTTAGTAAAAGAATTAATCATTGTTATCAGAGAATGCAATATGTAGGAATTCCATCAACAATTTATCGCCATTTAAGTACGAATTAGAAGATTATATTTATAGATGTTTTGAAGCTCAGTTTCTATTTTGATGCACGATAACTAACTTATGCAAATGGAGATTGATCATGTTCTTCTAATAGAGAGACCTGAAATCACACTCCCACCGCTAATGTAATTTATCGAACTATTTAACAATTAGAGATAGAGAGAGTAATAATAAACGCTAAAACCATCATGTTTTAGATCATTTCTGAACTTATATTTGTTTCCTTTATTTGGTTTTCTATTGTCTAGGTATCAGTTGGCCGATGCAGTAGTTGAAGGCGGAGTTCCCTTTGATAGGGTGCATGGTATGCATGCATTTGAGTATCCTGGAACAGATCCCAGATTCAACGATTTATTCAATAAGGCCATGATCAATCACACGACTATGGCGATAGACAGAATTCTCAACGTCTACGAAGGTTTTGAACACGTCAAAACTTTGGTAGACGTCGGCGGCGGACTTGGAGTTACTCTGAACGCCATTGTGAAGAAATGGCCAAACTTGAAGGGTATCAATTTTGATTTGCAACATGTCATACAACATGCTCCGGCATATCCTGGTATTCTACATTTTTTTCTTAATTTCTTACCATGTATTTATTTCTCTCGTCTCAAAAAAAACTTTGTTTACTTAAAACGGTATAATAAAGTCTATTATTTTTTCTTGAACGGAGGGAGTTAATGCAGATTCTCATGAATGTGACTATCTATTATAAAGTCAGAACCTCACGATATTGATTTGTCCAAGGATCAATTTAATTGTACAAATAGTTCCATCACCTTGGACATTCACTACTTTTTTCCCCTTCCCTATTTTTCATTACCCTATATCATGAACTCGTAAGATGAATATGCAGGAGTAGAACATGTTGCTGGAGATATGTTTGAAAGTGTTCCGGAAGGAGACGCTATATTTATGAAGGTAAAATTGAAGCCATCATCATATATGCAATTTTGTTCACGTTAAACTTTTGATCCTAATTTGCTGTAGATGTAGTTGTTTCATCTTATTGTCCTTTGAACTGAATTTTCATTAAATTAGGATTCCAAAGGTATCCTACAATGGAACTCCAACTACTATTATTAAATGTAAAGTTCAAAAAAAAAAAAAAAAGACCAAAAAAAATGTAAAGTTGAAGAATCTTGTAAGAGGTTAAGAGGGGTAAATATAAGTGTGCTTTGCATTCGTCTGACTATGCTAATTTCTAAACTCCCGAAATAAAAAAGGCCTAAGTAGGAATTTGACTCGAGGTTAAGATGACAGTATTATCTTTGAAAGACAAATGTGGCTATCATACACTAATAATTGTAACTCACGGTGATACAAATACATCTGAATTATGTTATAATTATGTTGCATTCTCATATAGTATTTACAGTTTTGCTGAATTTGTAATATGTTGTAAACATCACTCTCAAATTAACTTGAATTAATGGTGTAATTTTGACAAGATTAACTTTTTATTTGTGTTATATATGTGTAGTGGATAATTCACGATTGGGACGACGATCACTGTCTAATGTTATTAAAGAATTGTTATAAAGCGCTACCAGAAGACGGAAAAGTGATAGTGGCAGATGGAGTTCTACCTGAAATTCCAGATACTAGCGCATCCGTAAAATCTACATGCCATGGTGACCTGATTATGATGACCCAGAATCCCGGAGGTAAAGAGAGAACTGAACAAGAGTTCCTTGCCTTGGCTACTGCTGCTGGATTTAAAGGCATAAAGTTAGAAGTATTTGTGTGTAACTTGTGGGTGATGGAGTTTTACAAATAGTAACACCACAGAAATATTCGTCTCCAAAAAATTGTTTTTTTTTTCCTTTTCAAAATTATTGTCTCATTTAAACTCTGAGGTTTCATGTGGACAAAAATTTTAAAAAGACTTTTAGCTAAAAAATTTGTTTAGAGTTTAAAATGTATTTAGACAAAATAATTAAAATCTTTTATAAACATCAATTTGAAAAAAAAAGGTTTGAAATAGACTTTTTAAAAAATAGGTATGGAGTATTTTTCAATTTTTTGAAATAGTTTTTTGTCTCCGTTCGCGGGTCTAAACCCGAGTCGAAAACGGGTTATAAAAAACGGGTTATAAATATTATTAACAAGACCAAAAAAAAAAAAAAAAGGTGTGTTACACGCGCAGCTCCCATTCCCCCACCCTTCCCATCTCTTTCTCACTCTGTTCTTGGCCCCACTTTTCTTTTTAATTTGTATTTATTTTTGATTTTCTCTTATTTTTTTCAAATGATTATGAGCTTGTTTGGCCAACTTTCATTTTGCATTTTTGTCTCATTTTACCTCTTAAAACACCTCTCAAACACAAATCCCAATGCTATCCAAACAACTTTTTAATTTACCTTTAAAAAAATATTCCACCACTCGCTTCCTGGCCGGAATCCGGCCGGACGGCGGCGGCGGCGGAAGTGGTCCGGTGATAGTCAAAAAATATTATTAGTTATTTAAAATATCACCCAAACAACTTTTTAAATTTTATCTCAAACCACATTTTAAATCACATCTCAAATCCAAATCAAAAACTAAAACAAAATGTTGGTCAAACAAGCCCTATATCTTTTAATATATAAATAATTAGACAACGTGCTATTTATCAAATTAATCTACGCGATGAGATCTTTCTATTAAGATTCATCGTTAATATTTTTGGAATTAAAAATTTCATTCAAATTTATATATCAAAATCAATGTATATGTTGTTTAACTATTATGTATATGAAAATGTGAATTATTTCTTTTTTTACCAAAAAAAAGGTAAATTTTTATTTCTTTTCTTATATTTTTATTCTTCACTAATTACATTTTGAATTTTTTTGTAATTTTTCTTTATTTGCGTCTTTTTAATATATTTTTCTTTGAAAAATATTTTTCACAAATTATTTGTCTTTGAGTGTATAAGAATTTAATTTTTGTTTTTTTAGTAAAATAATACTTTTGTATCACATTTGTTTTCTTTTTAATAATGTCATAAATAAAATGAATTTACTGCTAGCACGAATACAACTGTTGTAATGATAGAAATTAGACATTAATTAAAAAATTATCTGTTAGTATTTGTTTATCATAACTTATTATGTGTTTAATAAGTTAGAATGATATAAATATTATGCATTTAATTTAGTTAGAATGTTTTTAAATCTACACTCTAGTTTCGATTTATGTTGAAAAGGTAAAGTGTGTTAAAGAAAATCTAGAACAAGATAATTGTGAATAATAAAAAAAATTTAGAAAAGAAAAGTGAAAAAATGAAAATAAAAATTTGTGAAAGAATAATTTTATTTTTTTAAAAAAAGTTAATTAATTATTTTTTTAACAAAAAGTACTTTTGAAAAAGACCTAATTCAAATGGCTTTTTCATATTTTTAACTTGTAAAAGGGTTTTGAAAAATTCTGGTCCAAATTCATTATTTTCTAAAAATTATTTTTTCAACTTTTGATTCAAACAGACTTTTTTGAACAATTTTTCAAAACTCTTGTCCAAATAGAGCATAAATCAGTTCAGTCATAATGAGCCCATATTACATTTGCGCCCATCCCAACTTTACCCAACATGATACATTACTTTAAATTTTCATATTAATTCTTCCACTTATACTTACTCTGTATCCTTATCTCCACTTACTGTGTAAAGTGAAACCAAATGCAGCCCATTTGATCATTTCTTTTTTTCCTTAGAGTTAGAGTTTAACTTTATGATTGTATTTCATCTCCATTTTTCC